TCTATATATACATACATTTAAATATTTGAAAACTTACACAAACAGCCTCTTGTCTAGATCAAGAGATCCTGTTTCAAGGACGTCATCAAACCGTTTTCTTACTGTGGGAATGTTCCTGAAACAGAAAAAAAAAAAAGTTTTTAAACACCAATGTCAATTCAAACAGTTGCTCTGTTTTAGTAGATTATGTTCATGCTATTTAGGATAGAAACACTAAGAAAGACTCAGATTTTCAATCTAACTGACCCTAACACTGGTTATCTGGAATACTGGAATAAGCAGTTCCCCACTAAACCAGTGGGGGGCAGCAGTGACTATTGACAGCCTTAGCATTGGACGGGAAAGGGAAAGTTGTTGGTTTGTTAGCAGGATCCAATGAAAACTAATGAACAGATTTTAATGAAATGTTTTTACCAGAGATCTGTCTCATGCCAAGGAACAATTAATTTAAATTTGGTAAAGATCCAGATCATGTGTGAGTTTTAGCTATAGTTGTAAGTCACCATTCTGGACAAAATTTGCTGCTTGGTGGAGGTCTGCGCTCTCAGAGTGCTTTTCTAGTATTGATTATGATTAACCGTCACTATCTTGGCTCTATTTCTTGTTTTGCAGCAGCCGCATCATTTTTGATGCTTTTAAGTTTTTGTTTTTTTTTTACAAATTTTACTTCTGTTGGTACAATATGAGCAATAAAACAAGTTAGATTCCTTATTTGTTCACCAATGTTGATGAAGCTGATTTTGATTCTTTATTACAAGGTCCCCACCACCCTTTTAAAATCATTGGCATTTTGGCAACTAAAGACATACATCCACCTCAAGTAATTATGCATTAGGAGAAGAAAGCAGACACGTTTTTAAGGTAAAACAAAATCTTTAATTTAAAAAAAACCTGGCTCAGTTCTTGCATTTGAAACAGACATAAAAAGAGAATAGAAGAAATTAAATAGAGAGCCAAATAGAATATTATTGAGCCTATAGGTTAGAAAGAAACTGCATAGGCTATTAATTGGGTAATCCTCAACAATCCTAAAATGAAACATCCACAACATATTTCTACCTCAATTTGTATATGGTTACAAAAAATAGAATGAAACGTTCACAGGGTCACTGAACACAACAACATAGCATAACATTAAAGGGCCTCA